AGAGAGAGAGAGAGAGAGAGAGAGAGAGAGAGAGAGAGAAAGCCAAATAGGGTTGTCGAGCCGATGACGATTCTGCCCTTGGGGAGCTCGATACACCAGCCGTTCGATAAGGCCTGAAGACCACAATACTGCTTGCGGGTTCGGTTCCAGATGAGCAACAGGCTCAAAGCTCATGCCGTACGGATCGAGCTCCAGGAGTACGCTGAATCCCATCCGCGCAACGGGGGGTGGAGGCTGGTGCGCCCGGCTATGCCATGGGTCTTGCTAGGAGATGTCGGCTGGTGGCCGTACTGGAGAAAGCTACATAGGTTTTGGATTATCTCGGCGGCGTCCCCCCACATTGCGCGACATACATATAGACCGTGATTTCCCATGCGTCCCAAAATGGGGAGCTTATAATGTGTGTGTCTCGGAACTCCACTACATCTTGCACCTGGTCACCAGGGGGCATACCCAAGGACAGCTCGGGGTAGGGCTTGGAAACCAACACAACTCAAAAGTCACTCTTGTTTTACCTCTGCCGCGGCTTTGGTAGGTGGGGGCTTGTCGTCACCCCCTTTCCTTGTCGGGCTGGGGATAAGGACGACATCATCGGCGGCGGCGGCGGCGGCCGGCTTTGTCTTGGGAGTGGTAAAGAACTTCGTCAGCGTGGGTTGCGCCTTGCCCACCTAGATTTTCAAACGCCGTCAAGGAACGAACGTGGAAGAAGACGAACGAGGTTGACAAAAAAAATCGGCACCGATTGGTTTGGTGACACTGAGATGAATAACAACGTGCGGAGAACGAGAGAGAAAAAATGAATGCACCAGCACACGTGAATGAAAGAAATACCGTACAAGGTTGATCGATAGACTTGTTGGTGAAACCCAGATACCGCATGCGAAGAACGAGCGACAAGTCAATGCACGGGGTGTATCTAGGCTGACCGCATATTACTATGTAAATAGCACCGGCAATCAGGCGACGAGAGGAGGGGAGGACACTCGTACCCACGCAATGACCAATTTGTCACAATGGACAGGATTGTTGTATTGTTGTGCGGGTACCCGTGTGCAGCTGGTGCCTCTGCCTCTCACTTCACCGGTACCGAGTGATTCCTGGCTTGTGATTCCCAAATGTGTGTGCTCTCCGGTGCTACATGTTGTGCTTGTAGACTATTATTATTTGTACTTTTTGACGGTAAATTTCAAAATTCCGATTTCGTATGGAAGATGAAGAGCATTGTGCGACGCTGTTGGCAACATGATGCAAAACACTTGCTGCAAAACTAGGCTCGCCCGGTATAGCAACGACGTGCTTGCGCGGCGCGCACGCCTCTGGCGGAAGAGGGCAGCTACTGCGCACGGACCCAAAGCAAGGCGTTGAAAAACAGCAAGATTCTCGTTTCGACAAGAGCCAGCAGCAGAGAGATTTCAAAAACAAAACTTGTTGCAGATTTGAGAGGTGAGTCTGTTGCATTTTGGCGGGGCAAACGCCAGCAGCAAGAGAGAACGGCGACATGGACGCTAGGCTGTGTTGTTGCAAAGCGTTGGTGCCCACCTCTGCCTTGTCCTTCTTCTTCCGAGCGGGAGCCCCACCGCCGCCAGTGCTGTTGCTGGGACGCCCCGGCCCGCGCTTTGTAGCTGGCGGCATCTTATCTCCTTTCCGCTCGCTCTGCTGTTGACCTCACACAACAACACACCACGTGTTGTAGCACAGCACACCGTCTAGCAATGGACGACTTTGGCAGCATGTGCAGCTGACTGAAGACGAATGGCCGAAGCGCGTGGTGTGTATGTAGCTGACCACTCGTATCGTTCAGCGCAAAGGTACTGCGAGCTGGCCGCGGTTGTTTTAAAAATTGGGGGTCGAATGATGTACAAAAATCGCTGAGAGTTGGTATGAGGGTTCGAATCCGCGGGACCCCTGCCCGTCTTGATCTTCCTGTGTGTCGCATCTGGTGTGCTGGTGTGCTTGTTGCCTGTTGCACCCAACACCACATTGACTTGCTCGCTCTGTCATGGCCTGTGTCTGGTAGTTTATGTACGAACTGTCATGCCCCAGGTGCTCCAATGTCTCTCCCGCAGCCCGCAGCAGCACGGGACGCAAGGACTGCTGTCTGTTGCACTTTTTCCCGAGCGTGACATGTACAAGCTCTCAACATCAGTATCCAAGCCCTCCGGATTGCGAGGGGGCGGCAACGTTCACCCCCCTCATACTCTAGGAAGCTGATATGTTGCCACTGGTGTTGGTGGTTTAACGACCCTGCTATTCTCCGATGCAGACCTGGAGAACTGCGGGCGGTGACAAACATGATTCGAGTTCTGTAACAACGTTCATGTTTTTTTCGTGGCACCCAGCTTGGCAAAACCTGTGGCTGTCATAGATGGTAAAGTGACCACATACATCTTAGGTTAACGTACAACAGTGTAAGACCTTGGTTAGAGCGACATTCTTCTACCGTTTCGATGGCGGCGCTGACCGGTGCGGTTGCTTGGTAGTGGAGTGCCAGTACCGTCGGCCGATCGAGTAATCAAGCCACACGAAACGAGCGCTGAGTGACGTGGATACTTGACAAACCAACTCTCTGCAGCAGAGGTGGCACCCTCCCCCCCACCCCCCATTAAGCAGGAACACGACGACTTTGACGAGCGCAACGTTACTGAGCATAGCGTTAGTATTGCCGGTCCAGAGGCATTTTTTTCGAAATACTACATGGAACAGTAGTGGGGGCGGAAGGAACCAAGCGGACTCAGAAAACCGAGGGCGCACGGACACCGAGGTCAAGGCGAGTGGAAACGTTCACCGGGGAGATCTAGAGACAAATTCACACCACCCGCGGACAGCACCAACCAGTGGGGAGATTGCCGTTGAAACCTTAAAAAAAAAACATGCCCTCAAATCATGCCTGGTGCCGAAAAACGGCGCGTGCGTCTTGTAGTTTCGACTCTCGTATCGAGATCCACCAAAAATTTAACATGAAGGGCTCGCGGCACAGGAAACAAGAATTTTCCCCAACATGCAACGAAGGGGGGAGCCGCCTGCAAAACTGCTGTCGTTGATACATACAAAAAAGGGGCGGCTAAACTCCGCTCAGAAGGCACAAGTCGGGTATCAAACACGCTGATTGATCCTGGGCCGACTAGCCGAGAGAACGCCGTTCGGATAGATAACATTCGAGATTTTAACAAAAGGTGGGTGATCGCCGCCCCCGCAAGCATGTAGAACGAGGCCACACGGCTGGTGGTTCACGTCACTACTGCACGAAGATGACACTTTCTCGTTATAACGCCATTTTGTCTGCCTGGAACAGAGGATTCATACAACCAGGTTGTGTACACACGCGCCAAACAAGACCAGGAGGACACTAAAGTAATGGTGTCTCTTCTCTCAACCCCTGTGCAAGTCCGTACGTATGACGGCAGTGCTTGCTCGACCATGCACACACCGAGCACGACAACAACGGAGCCGAATGGAGAATACAAACCCGAACCTCTCCTCAAGGCTGGTACACAACAAACAAACCAACCATCAACCACGAAGCGAAATGTCTTGAACGTAGTCATGCACCGCTAAAAAGATGCCGTGGCACTGAATTTTGAGTTGGACATGAGAGAAAGAGCGGTGGTTTACCTTTTGTTTCGCGGGCCTTTGAACGACCCCCCGCCCGCTCCAAACGGATTTCGCCGCCGGGACCTTCGCGGTAAATTTCCGATAGATACGGTAAAGCACCCGCCGATGAACTCACCCCCCAATACAAATACAAACAAGAAACACGCAATACGTCAACCTCGTCCACAACCTGACAACCTTGACCAACACGACGGCCAGGTACGACGTACCCTACGGCAAAACAATCAAAAAGCGCAACCCTTAGTCGGGACAACAAGCAAGGGTGCACCACCGAACGGTTTTTCTTGCACCGCTCTGCTGCCGTCGCTCTTGAGCTGTTGCCATCAACACACAAACGAGCCCGCACACGGCTTTCGTCGACCAGTGCATGCAGGAGGTCGGAATCGCGGAGACACTCTTTGGATGGCTATGACGGACCAAGCTGAATTTCCGCCGCAGCAGAAATGAGCGGGATCTGCTCGGCGAAGGACACCAGAACCGGGGCGTATCACCGGGGGGGGCGGAGGAAGGGGTATTGAGTGCTAGATACAAGTCATTGAGTTGGTCTACTTACGATCATCAACCACCTTTTCCGGCAAAGCAAATTCACATTGTGTGGCGTGGTTTGCGAAGAGGCAGCCTCTACCGCCCGCGCACTGATGTTCACTTTCTCACACCACGTCGTCATTCTCCAACAAGGCTTCACAAGAACACCACGACGGCCTTATCACTCGTCTCCCTTAGCCACCGCCATTACAATGACGCTCTACGCAGCGCGTCTTCCACAAAAGCACAAAAATTGCACAAGCCGATTGGCGAAAAAACCCACCCAGTGAAAAACAACCCCTCAAAACCCTGTTGTTGTAGGAAAAATCACCTGGTTTGCCATCTTCCCCCTCGCCGTTTCCGCCACCGCGTACGCCACCGCCCCTACCAGGCAGTAGAAGGCGAAGTTTGTGACGAACTGCTCACCCTCGGGCGCGACGTACCCCGCCGCCGTGCCCAGAAGCCCTAGCACCACGGTCAGGATGTCCACCAAGATCGCCTGCTGGACGTTGAAACGAATGAACCTGGCGTGACGTGGTGTGGCGTATGGTGTGGCCGCCGGCGGAGGGGAGAAAAGGAGGGAAGCGGGGGTGTTCGTCATGATGAACCCTTGCGGTGGAACGGCTTTGTTTGCGAGAATGCGTGTCTATCCAGGTGCTTCCGCATGGTGGTTAGCGTGTCCTTTGATAGTGCTGGTGCCTGGAGTAGTACCGGTCAAACCTCTGGTCGTGAATAGTCCGCTCCCCTACATGCAACCTACATATCCCTGTTGTGAAGAGTGCCGGTCAAACCTTTAGGCACACAAAGGCACCGTATCGGGACACCTACCGTATGCTATTTATGTCTTTGTATTTTGTGCCTCTCTGTGCACAGAATTCCAGGTAGAAGCTGTGGTGGTCGTGATGACAGCACCTCGACCAACAGACCGGACCATCACCGTCCACGGCAGTTAGTTGTATCGACGATCGCTTCGTCGTACGTTTTTCAAGCCATCCAAGCACCTTCCATCTTGAGAGACAAAAACTTCCCCGCCGTGCGCGCCCTCGCGTGCATGAGCCCAACCTACAGTACGTGCGAGGCAGAACAACGGCCATCTTCGACCCGCCTGCTCCTTGTCGAAGGCCAAACGCTTAACTCTTCCATATCCCGTCAAATAAATCAATGACAACCAATCAATAACGCACTCGTGATAACTCACTTCGAGGTGTCCTGCCGCGGGACCGAAACCCGCGTCGAAGGCCAAACCCTTAACTCTTCCCGATCACATCAAGCTAATGAAAGCGTTAACTCACCTAGAGGTGTCCTACCGCGGGACGGAAACCCGTGTCGAAGGTCAACGCTTAGCTTTTCCATATTACATCAGAGAAATGAATGCGCTCCCGCGAGAACTCACCTAGAGGTGTCCTGCCGTCGCACCGAAACCTGCAGGATGATGAACATCACCAGGGGCATGAAGGGCACGTTGTCCCAGATGGCCAGCGCTGGCGCGAGGACGCCGTGCACGAGACTCCCCAGCATGGGCACCGCGTGGAACACGTCGCGGCCGCAGTCGAGCCCGTCGAGCATCGGCAGGAGGTACACCTGTAGCGGCAGAGGTCACGGAATCGAGCAAGATTGGATGAGGAGGGTCAAGAAGAGGAGGGCAAAGAGGACGAGGAAGCGGAGGAGAAGGAGGAAGGGAAGGAGGAGGAGAAGGAGGAGGAAGAGGAGTAAACTTGTGTGCTTGAGAGCATCCTACTATATTACACTACTTTTGGCGTCGGCAGTGTTGGTGTACGAACGGACACAAACTACGAAAAAATCTGAACCCCCAAAGTCCACGCCATGCCACCACGCGACTGTACGAGCTCTACCATGACGATCGAAGGTAAAACAGCATACGTCCTGACAGTGAACCCCTCGCACAGTCCGGAACCCATGTGCGACCACCCCCCCTCCCAGAAATAAAAGTTCATCGCCCTCTGCTGTCTCGTCCAAATGATTACACGGGTAGCCCCCGCCCGTAAGAACTGGTCAGTTAAGAACTTCATGCTCAACGCTGTATCGAGCACAAGAACTTGCGTCCCGTTTGCGAACCCTGGTTAGAACCCCTCTACACTATAGGCGACATATCGGTCATTTGAAGCCCACAAGAGGAACTGAGAACCCCAGCTTTTGGTCCAAATCAGAGGTTCTAAACCGCGGGCGCTATTTGTGTGAAAAGTGCACCTGTGTCGCAAGCACTTAGGGTAGAGGGGATTTGGGAACTCCACTACAGCGATGGATTAGACTCAATCCAATATCAGCGAACTCCCAGACATCTACTGCTGTAGTCATGAATTTTCTACAGAGGCATGAAAAACGTTTGAACGATAGGAAAGAGCATGAAGTAGATCGGCCGGGGGGTTCTGCGCATGGGAGGAGACAGACGGTTAGCAAGCACATGCGCAATTCGCGCAGCCCCCCACGCTCTTGCAGACATTTTCGGCCCCTCGATGATGCCCTCTACAAAGCGCTGGAAGATATAGATATCGGTACGCTAGGGGTGGATGGTAGTATCCACTCAGCCAGCCAAGTCACAATCCGAACGCCCCGCACAAGCCTCTAGCGATACTCCGCCAACGTCGTTTTTCGAAGACTACACAGGGGGTACGGCAGTTGATACGGGTACCGGCTCTCTCTTGATATCTCGTGAGCGTTCCACACCCGCTTTTTCTATTAGGCGGTGAGCAACAACACCGCAGTCTCTTGTCACAGCAAGACCCTCTACAAGTACACTACATATTGTGCCTGTGTACTTGCAACCCTTGTGCCGCAAGGTCGTGCGGCGTTGGATCGCAGTGGACACCTTAAAAAGCGCAGGCAGGGATCCAAATATCTTGGCGGTCTATCTTGTGTTGTACTTCAGTAGTCTACAGCTGTTTCGCTGCAGCTGGTATGCAACCTAACATACAGAGACTTTTCAAGAATATAAGCTCATCCGGAAGATAAGAAATCGGAATTGAGACACATCAGGTCAGCGGTGAATCCTATACGAAAGAACTGCTGTACTATTATATAATACTACTCTCACAGGCGGTTGTGGCGACGAAATAATGAAACAACAAAAAAATGAACCAAAATCGAACAGCGCGATATATAGATACCTAGCGCGCCGCGTGGTGCTGCTGTTGTGTACCATATGTAGAACGCCAATAGTGACTCTTGTCATGACCACTCCCACAGAGAATACTCGCCGCGATTCCGCGAAAGTATCAACGGGAGGCAAGACGCATTGCCTCTGCCGGCGTCGGGGGTGATGATTCGGTACATGTAGAAGATGTGGACAGACAGCAGCAGTGCGTACCGGGCGTGTGTGGGTGTACGCTAAAAAAGTGGTGCGTGCTCCGTAGGGTCGCACTTGCTGCACTTTGTACACGCCCTGCACCTCCACAGCCAGGAAACTCACCACCGTCCCCAAAGCTCTGTTCCGCACGGACTCCCCCTTCTCCCCTCCCTGCCCCGACGCCTTCATGCTCAGCAGTGTCGTCCCAGTCGCCGCCGCCGTTCCCCTCCGCCGTCTAGACACCGCCTCCGCTGTCCCCTGTCTGCGGCGGTGTGACGACGGCGCTCGCGGCAACGAACGCCACCATCCCGTTGAGGAACTACAGAACGCGAGCGTAGCTGCTGTTGGTCGTAACAAGGAGGGAAAAAAGCCGGCCCGGTTCCCTCTGCTGCTGCTACAGAAGAACGGGAGAGCAGCAGCAGCAGTGGTCGCAGTCATCCTGTCGCTGCTGCTGCTGTGGACGGCAGCAGAAGCACGCGGTACGCCACGCAAGAGCAATCGGGATGACGATGATGCGTTGTTGTTGTTGACGTGGAAGGCTCTCGCCTGCCCCTCGCGGGCTGCAAGTACGGCCGCTGCAGCGGTCGCTGCATGGATCTTCGGCACGTACATGAAGCGCAGGTGCTGCTGCAGCTACGCAGCTCTAGCGCACTACTCCAGTACGCAACAGCAGTAGGCAGAGCTGAGATTCTGCACTTAATAAACCCCCAGCTTTTTCGGCGCACGGAAAAACGAAATGTCAACACGAGGCCGAAATAAATGAAGGGCGTCGTCGTTGCATCCACCCACGGTCCCTGGAAGTAAATCCTTGGACGTTCAAGGCAAACCAGCACCAAAATATATACTAGGGGTGTTGGTGGGCGTGCGCGGGTCCGTGAGTATGGTCCAGGGCAGGGCGGTAGTGCGGGAAGCTGCCAGCTCTGCCTGCTGCTGCCTGATTTGATTTCGAAAAGTTGTGGGGTGTTCGCAATTTGTATCTTCTTAATTGCGCCGCATGCCTGCCAAACATATCCTCTGTGTCCCCCCCCTCGACAGTCCAGCCAAGAGCAGAGAAAGTCGACCTGCGTGCCCTTCTCTCTGCCTTCCCCCCAGACGAAAACATCACCAACAGTAGCTCCTCTGTTGCAACGCACAAGGCTCGGTTACTGCTTCCCATAGGATCGCGAATCGCTTGGTTGAAGTGCCTGCGTTTTGTTTTGTGTCTCAACAATCCACACTCGAGGCGCGGCGGACAACGGCCAAGCAAGGCTGTGTGCTTAACGAGAGCGTAACAACAGCGACGCGGCCATAGACAGGGGGGAGATTAGGCGTATGCTTGAAGGAGGACCGGCTCACCTATCGCGAGGCATCAAGCTGGACTAGAGCTTGTCGAGCGTGTTTTTATTGGAAGGTAGAGGAACGCGGCGGTGGCTGCTTTCCCCAGGGGTGAGGACCAGCAGGACCTACCTGCACCCTCCCGGCGAGGATAGCAGCTCGCGCGTGTCGCCCTTATAGAGCAAGATACACAAGCCGGCAAATGGCGTCCTCTTCTGCCCCGCCGGCCTCCTCCCTGGGCCAGGACATCAAAGAGTTCTTGGAGAACGAGAAGGACATCGAGTTCGAGGAGGAGATCTCTCGCAACCCCTACCGGCTCAAGTCCTGGTGGAGGTACCTGCTGGCCAAGGAGGGCGCCAAGCGCAAGACGCGCAACATCATCCACGAGCGGGCGCTCAAGTTTCTCCCCAACAGGTAAGCGGCGAGTATGGTGAGAGAGTGGCGTGTGTCCTGTCTGGGTTTTTGTGTCCGCGCACGGTATGTTTGTGTTTTGTTTTCTATACAAACATCGAGCTGGGAGGTAGGGCCGGTCTTCTGGGGGGCACTGCTGTAGAGCTTGGCACTCAGGTTGGGTGACCTTGGACTCTCCCTCTGCCGGCGCACTGCTGCTACTGCTGTAGCCTACTGAGCGCCCATCGCCACATCAGTGTTGGTAGTAAAGTTACTCGGGAAGCTTGCTCAGGACCTGAAAAGGAAACGGTTCAAGCTGCAAAATAGTAGATATTTTTCCTGGTGCTTTTCGGTCTCTCAAAACGACAGGAAGGTGATTTAGGGAGAGACGTAGCCTACACGCTGTTGAGCTGCTTGTGCTTGTGCTTATGGCAGTCCTCATGTCTCATATCGCAGCATTTTATCTGTACTGCTGTGGTGCCCCCTGTCGCTACGGTGGTGCACTGAGGGGCGTACACGGATACGGCTCATAATTCGCTGCAGCATGCCCGTTCAGAGGAACGGCACCACCGTCGCACGCCTCTTCGAAGTGCATTGTACGTGTTTCAGTAGTCGATGAGTGTGGCCGGTTCATCATGCGACGTGCTCGTACGTTGACGCGTCCAAACCCTGGTATCCGCAGCAAAACATGCACCACGCTTTCGGTTGTCCCTTGTGTCATTTCCGGCGTCGGACGTGAAGCGGGATTTGCCCGCAGACGAAGTCTCGCGGACAAATCGTTACATCTTTCATCAGCAGCGTTCTCTCCCCTTTCCGCAAGCGCTCACTTTACGCCCACCCGCCGCGCTTTGTGCGTGCGCGCGAACGTCGTGGGCCGCAAGCAGCTACAAGCTTTGGAACCAGTACCTGCGTGAGAGGAGAGCGGCGGTAGAGGGGAAGTGCATCACGGACCCAGCGTGCCAGATCGTGGTCAATGCCCACGAGCGNGGGGGGGGGGGGGGGGGGGGGGGGGGGGGGGGGGGGGGGGGGGGGGGGGGGGGGGGGGGGGGGGGGGGGGGGGGGGGGGGGGGGGGGGGGGGCGTACTCTTCTGTTGTTTTTGCATGCCTTAGCGGCTAGACCATTGACAACGTGTCCTCGAGAGGATGGAGATTGGACCGATCACCAAAGGCCGATCGTTCCTTCCTACTTAACCAAAGATGGCAAAAAATGAATTGTTGGGGGAGGCGGGGGGGGGATGAGATGGGCGAAGAATGAGAAGGTAGAGAGAGATTGACGAGGGAGGGATCGGTTTATATGTATACAAGCGGTAGACCGGGACTGTGTCAAGCCCTCGGAACAAAGGGTTCAACGCGCTGGATACATGAAGCCTCCAATACCTCCCTCCCCCCGGTGTTTGCCATCGATGAGTACACCCCCCCCCCCCC